CGCGAGGCCCCCCTCCAGCTCGTCCCAAGCGGCCGCCGCGGCCCCCAGGCGCTGCTGGACGTCTGCTGCCAGGTCGGGGTGATCCTCGGCCAGGCGCTGGGCTTGGGAGCGCAGGGTGCCCAGGCGGCTCTCGACAGCAGCCAGCTCACGCTCGATGCCGTACAGCTTGCGCTGGATTGCCAACACGCCGGCCAGGTCCCGGCCCATGTCCTGCGTGGACTCCACCACGTGGGTCTTGCTCAGGATCCACTTGCGGGTCTCCTCGCAGTCCACGCAGTAGTTGATCAGGCTCAGCGCTGAGTCCACGGCTTTCCGCCGCTGTGCTACCATCTTCTGAAACCTGTCCCATCTGCACGGCACAGGGAGTCAGGGCCACCCTGCCCGGGCCCTACTCTGGCTTGGCCAGCTGCTGAGCCTGGTGGTGGCCATATGAGGACACACGCGCCGCGATACGGGGGACACGGACATGGGGATGGCGCTGTGTCTCGCTGCATGGCTAGTGCCCCAGCTCAAGTACAGAGTACGGGGCACAAGGGTACCCCGCAGCGTGGGCACCCAGGGACGCGAGAGCGAAGAAACGATGCCCAAGGGTTCAAACCCATTTGCCAACATCCCCCGGACTCCCGGCACGGTGCCTAAATGCAGCGGAAGCTGCCGAAATGGTTCAATCCCCTCCGTCCTCGTGGGGCACGTACCTGGTGTTGAGCTGCTCCTGACACTGCCGGATGTGGGGGCTGCGCGGGTGCCCACTCTCTATCAGGCCCTCAGCTGCCCGGTTGATGCCGTCGATTTGGGAGGCCAGGCTGCTCATCTCCTGCCCCAGGCTGTCAAACCTGCCAAGTGCAAGGGCTGAGAATGGGCCCCACCTCGAGACACAGGTACCAGTCCCGGAGGTGGCAGGTGCCCATCCTCCTCCCATGGAGCCTATACCTGTGCTGGACCACATCCAGGTCCTCCAGCGTGTTGGGGATCTCCATCTGCTCCAGCCACGTCTCCTTTGCGCCCATCCAGAGCTGGCAAGCATCGATCTCGCTGATGATGGTGTAAAGGTCCAGGCTGTCCTGCAGCTTCCGGCGCCGCAGCTCGGCCAGGCTCACCACCTCGCTGTAGAGCGCCCGCAGGGCTGTCAGCCGGCTCTGGGCCTCGGGGCCGGCGCGCAGCTCAGGGGGGAAGTCCTCGGCTTGCTGGCCCAAGCTGCTGAGAAGCTGCTCAGCACCGGCCACCTCCTCCAGCAGCTCCCGGGGCTTCTTCACCAAGGCC